TATATATATATATATTAATTACAGGATCTTTGGCTTGAAAAATATCGCCCTGCCTACTTCACAGCGCTGTTGCTGGTTCCTGGTACTATTTAAAAACACGCTCAAAACCCTGAGGTAGATACAGAATATTTTACATGTACAAATATATACAAAGTTTCTATCATTTATCAGAATATTTACATGTTTTTGTAACTTGGTGCTGATCCAGGCGCCTGTCTGTCCCATGAACATGGTCATCAGCGACTCTGTGTCGTGTTTCCGTGCTAACTGCGCTGATGCGTCTGTGCCCGTACAGGGCCGAAGAACGGATGCCACAGCGCCTCCTCCAGGGTGATGCGGCTGCAGACGTCGTACTCCAACATGCAGCTGACCAAGTCGAAGAGCTGCCGCTCCTCCTCTCTCACCCTGGGCATGATCTGCTAAAGGAAAACCACCACAGGTCAGGGTTTTACACCTGGCTGCTGAAGCTGGCTGACACACAGAGGTGTTGCTGCGTACCTTCAGGGGTTTACAGTGTTTCCTCACGTAGCTGTCAGACGAGCTTTGTTCATCCCAGTGCAGACGGTCATTATGGATGTAATGTTTTTTTCTGTACACAACATGGGTCAGAGGCTACGTTCACAACAGAAGCTACATTTTTAAAATTTCGATGCAATACTAAATTATTACAAATTTATGGTTGGAACTTTTCAAGAATCTTTTGGTTATTTTTTTAAAATGTCTTTAGAAAATAAAGTTTTTGATTTGTGTGATTTTGGTTACATTGATTTAATTTATTATTTTTTAAATAGAAAATTAAAGGTGTTAAATTTGGTCCTTTCTTCAACAGCTACTTGTTGACATTGTGTCAGGTGTGTGTTTGTATGAGTGTGTGTGTGGTTACCTCGTCTGTTTCAACATATGGCCAGGAATCGGTCCCAGAACTTTCTCCATCATGGCCAGATGTTCTTTGCTGTCATGAGTCTGGAAGGACAAAAAGCTTTCAGTTTAGAAATATAAACACACAAAGGTGTATGGTATGATGTGTGTGAATGTGTCTGTGTGTGTGTGTTTACTGGGAAGAGTGTGTGTCCAAGGTAAAATTCCATAAGAACACAGCCCAGACTCCAAACATCACATGACTGGTTCCAGCCGAGATCTGAACACAAGTAGACATCGATCATTGAAGTCGTCAAAATCCCTGCACACGTGTGTGTGTGTGTGTGTGTGTTTGTGTGGATCTACCTAGTATAACCTCTGGAGCTCTGTAATGCCGTGTCGACACCAGTGATTCATGGTGTTGGTGGTCAAACGTGGCGGTACCAAAATCCACCACCTTCACATCAAGACTTTGTAGATTTGTCTCCTGACAATCACACACACACACACACACACACACACACACACAGAGGCACAAACAATTACACTTCCCCACCCAGACTGTGTGTGTGTTTTAATTCTCTAAAAACGTTGACAGACGTTATACCTCGCTGCTGCTGGAGTCACAGTCTTGGTTCACCAATAGAATATTTTCTGGCTTGAGATCGGTGTGTGTCAGCTTGTTACGATGAAGGACTGTGTAAAAAAACAAACAAACAAAAAAACATCACACACAACACACAACAGCAAAGCAAACATCCAGGAAACAAGTAAACAAAGACAGACATGATGTCAGTACTGATATAGAATCAGTCCTCCAGCTGCAGGAACCAGCCTGAGACATTAACGTTCACCCAACAGCAGCATTTTACCAGAGGACTCGTCCAGATGTGTCTAATATCTGAAGACTATGTTTTTGCCATCTACAGAGTGACTCACAGCAGACGGCTCTGAAGATCTGGAAGGCCATGTGTCGGATCTGCTCCACAGTGAAGGGCAGGAACCTCTTCTGTCGCAGGAACTCAAAGGTGCTGATGCCCAGCAGCTCAAACACGATGCAGACGTGACCTTCATGTTCAAACCAGTCCAGCATTCTCACACAGGCGCTGCATGGTGACAGTTAGTGATGAGGAACATTAGGAAATGAACGAACGAGCATCTGCCGTGTGGCGTCCAGGATTTACTCAGAGGCTGTGCCTCATCTGCTGCTCACAATCTGTGATCATCATCCAACGATTTGATCTCCTCCAACACAGCAATCTCAGACATGGCCACTTCACGGAAACAATCGATGTTCTTCACAATCTTAACAGCGACATGCTCGTCCCTGTGGGATTGGCAGAACGACATGAAGTGTAACCTTTGCTATGGAAATGAAGAAGCTAGGAAAAGTCAGAATGTTGACGCATAATTTGCTAAAGAAATAATATATATATGATTTTATATATATGTTTGTGTGTGTGTATAGATATACAATTATATATATATAGATTATACTGTCTTTCTTATAATATTCTGCAATAAAAAATAATAACAATTAAACTTTAAAAGATCAAAAATTAGCTAAAAAAAGAGAAAAGAAATTAAAATTTTTTCTTAGGTACTTCTAAGGTACACATGTAAACAAGGCACCAGGAATCCAGACTTGCTGACTGCTAATCTTAAGTATTTTCAAAAACCTTGGAAGTATTTAAAAAAAGTCTAAGCTTCCATACGATCCTGGCTCAAACAGTACTCCTGCATGCAGTACACTAATATTTGAAGAAATGATTAAACACGTACTTCTCCCTGTCCATGCACTTCACCACTTTCCCAAAGGCTCCAGCTCCCAGAGAGGAAACGACCTCATCTGTGGAAATCACAAACAAAAACAACTAATGACAAGTTTCCATATGAATAAATCCATCATTTGGATTTAGTCACAAATACAAACACACGAAACACAACACATTCAATAAGGTGGATTCATGCTGATTCATCTCAGTTCATCATGATGAGTAAAAGTTTGACAATCGTTGACAATCCTGGTTTGCACAAACAAAGTCCTGAATTTTTTTGAAGCAGTTCTTTACATTCATGTTATCGTTAACTGAGGTGTCACGCACATCTGTTATTCATCACCAGGCCGACGCGATAAACCAGGTGTCCCTCCTCATCATCGTCGCAGCTCGCTGCCCTGCTCCTGTCTCCCCCACCTCCTCCTCCTCCTCCAGCTTTGTCAAGAGAAGCTGAGTCCAGGCAGAGCGAGTTCTCCTTCTGCTTCTCGGCCGCAGATGTTGATGCGACAGTGAAGTTCATACAGAGACAGAGACAGAGACAGAGACAGAGACAGAGACAGAGACAGAGACAGAGACAGAGAAAACCGTATTTTTCAGATGTATGGTGAGCTAAAACTAAACTGTAACGGTTAAAGGAGACGGGAATTTACCGAGGTTTCAGTTTGTGAGGAGGAGCACACTGAGCTGTGGTTGAGACTTCCAGTCTTTATTTCAGTGTCGAGAACATCTGGTTTGATGTTGTCTTCTTCTGAGAACAGAATGAAATCATGATAATAATTATATTAATTATCTGACTTTTCTTGTTCTACAGATTTTTGATGTTGTCTTCTTCTGAGAACAGATTGAAATCATGATAATAATTGTATTAATTATGTGACTTTCATTGTTCCATAAGGAGGCTGCAGTAATAAAATGACAACATAATGGCAAAGAGAAAGTAAAACCTGGGAGAAAATAATATTCTTTCCCCTAATACAGGATGTTTAAAATGAGAATATGATGCATGTTACCTTTTTGGAAATTGTGGTCAATATCGTTGATTCCCATGATGCACCAGCTCACAGTAACGGGTTTAAGGTCACTGCACTTCAAGTCTTCAGCCCCGTAGATCTGAAGTTGATAGGAAATAAGGACGAGATAATCCACTGAAATTAAAACAAACCAAATCCTCACAGAAACACAACAATGACTGGACTCAATGAAAATGCCAAAGTTCCGTCTTTGAAAAATTGTTCGTGTTCTTGCGTGTGGTGCATTTGCTGAAACAGAAATGCTGACACTGATATTTTGTTAAGTGAAGTGAGAGTAAACACTGAGACTCACCAGAACTGCTGCTGCTGCTGCAGCTGAATGAAGAATCTCCTCCCTGAGACAATGAGGTCAAACAGAACTAGAATATTTGATTCTCTTCTCGTCCTCTACTATATTTATGTTTCAAATCTGGTTTCAACAAATATCAACATAAACAAAGACTAAGCTGTGAGGAAGCTCACACCTCGTCCTCTCTCTGTGCTCTACTGGCCTGAAACCTAAAACCTCCTGAGAAGGTTGAAGGTTTCCTGACCCTTAAACCCAAGAAGCATCCTCTCTGTTTTCAGAGCTAAACATAGAGTTTACACCAGTCAAGTGCTGCGCAAGGTGGTGGATCAGTTTTTATCTGGATCACTAACTCCTTAAAGACTACACAAAAACAACAAAAACAATCAACATTTGTACACTAAAAAATATTTTCAACAATGTTTCACCAATATTGATTATAAGCCAGTTGAGTTTAAGAATCTTTGAAGCTTGACTTTAGGGTAAAGAAAATATTAAGGCTTTTCACTGTAAACAAAATCCTTTAAACTTTAAGAGGATCGAATGAAATTTAACTTGAGTCTGTCACACCTTTTGCTGCTCTGCATCATGGGTAGATTTGAGAGGTCACAGTAAGTATCTGGTGCATCAGCACAACTGAACTAAACACAAATCAGAATATAAATATAATATAATTATGAATAACCCACCCCCCAGATCAATATCTACCAATTTCAGAAGACCTTTACAAACTGGCCCTAAATTCTAAATTCAGTTCAGACTCCAGCTACAAACTTGCTGCTAGCGACAGTGACGATCTCTCTCCGTGCCAGTCTCTGAGCAGGGTTTCCCTCGGCCTTTCCAGCAGGTCTGGATTTGACTCCCTGCTGTGACTCAGCGGTCTGAGTTTCACGGACACGTGAGGAAGAAAGGAAGATATCGCCTGCCACTCACTATGGAATTGGGTTATTAGAGCATACACGCTACGCACAAAACAAAATGTCAGCATGAAGTCAGCGGCTGACGGTGGATGAATGTTCGAAAGGCTGAGTAAACAAAACCTCAGCGTTTGAAATATAATTTCAAATTAA